GGTTCCTGAACCCCTGTGGGACACCTGGAAGAAGCTCCTGGCTCCTGGCTTTGGATTGCTGCAGCTCCAGCCAATGCAGCCTTCTGGGGAGTGAACCAATGGAAGGAAGACCTTTCTCTCTGTCTCTCCCTCTCACTGTCTGTAATTCTATCTCTCAAATAAATAAAAAGTTAAAAAAAATAAGGATGCTGAGTAGCAACCCAACCTTCCACCAACCAGGTGCATTTCCATCCCAGGTCACAACAAAAACAATGTGCTGGAGCATGGGTAGGAGGGAGGGTGCTGGAAGTGCCACTATGTTCCTATAATGGTATAAAGGAAATAGATGAAACATGTATAACATAAACAAAATATGTACCAAAGAAAAAAATCCAAGCATTCATAGCAAAAGTCGAGGAAAAGAGAAAATCACACTGTATTTTGAAGGAAGAGTAGCAGCTATGAACATAAGGGGAACCAGAGAAGTAAAAAACGCTTTTTCAGAAAAGGCAGCACCAAGGTGGGGTGAGTGAGATCCAGGTTCTCCAGCACCACTGTCCCTGAGACTCTTGGTGCAGCCATGGCAGAACCACAGCCCTGGGCCAGCTGTCTCTGTTCTCAATAGCTGCTTGGATGCAGACACCAGCTCCAAGGATTTTCCATTGTAGCAGACCATGCCACAAATTAAGGATCTGAAGAAGTTGCTGCATGGAGCCTGTCCTGTGGCATAGTGGCTAAAGATGCCACCTGAAACACTGATATCCCATATGGACACTGGTTTAAATCCCAACTGCTCCATTTCCAAACCAGCTCCCTGCTAATGGCCTGGAAAAGCAGCAAAGGACAGCCAAGGCCCTTGGGCCCCTGCACCCGTGTGGGAACCCAGAAAAGTTCCTGACTCCAGTCCTGCCATTGGGACCATCTAGGGAGTAAACATGCAGAAGGAAGATTTCTCTCTCTCTCTCTCTCTCTCTCTCTCTCTCTCTCTCTCTCACACACACACACACATGTCTCTAATTCTTCCCATAAAATAAATAAATCTAGAAGAAGAGGAGGAGGAGGAGGAGAAAGAGGAAGAGGCAAGATGAAGGAGGAGGAGAAATTCGACACCTAGCCCCTTGAACTCACACCAAATGATATTCAGTCATCCCCAAATGAAACTCTGTGAGAACAAAAGTTCATTTTCCTTTGTCATTACCCCCATCAATAGGAATAGCTCTTCTAATTCTCATTATCTTGCTCTGCAATGTTTTATTGCCCACCTCCAGACTCCTATAGAAGAATCTATCAGTCTCCATTCAACAATGACTAGTGCAACTCATTCTTAAATAACAATGCCCAACTTTAGAGAATGAATCCAATAGCTAGATCATAATATTCATTGCTTAAACAAACCTACTAGGACTGTTACTCGTTCACTTATACTCACAACCCAGTTATTAATAAAGTTAGAAATTGCTATCCCACCAAGAGTTAAAGCAGTGGTTACTGGCTTCTGTCCTAAAACAAAACTATTTCCGGTGCCGTGGCACACTAGGCTAATCCGCCACCTGTGGCGCCGGCACCCCGGGTTCTAGTCCCGGTTGGGGCGCTGGATTCTGTCCCCGTTGCTCCTCTTCCAGTCCAGCTCTCAGCTGTGGCCCAGGAGTGCAGTGGAGGCTGGCCCAAGTGCTTGGACCCTGCATCCGCATGGGAGACCAGGAGGAAGCACCTGGTTCCTAGCCTTAGATCAGCGCAGCATGCCAGTCGCAGCATGCCAGCCGTAGTGGCCACTTCGGGGGTGAACCAATGGAAAAAGGAAAACCTTTCTCTCTCTCTCCCTCCCTCTCTCTCTCTCTCTCTCTCTCTAACTCTGCCTGTCAAAAAACAACGACAACTAACTATCTACAGCCCATCTCCGCCCTCAAGGCAACCATTCCCCTTTCATTCCTATATCAGTAATTATCAAAGCTGTCAACTTAGTTTTTTATTTATTGACATACTAACTATCCATATTTACGGGGTACAATCTAATATTTTGATGAATGAAGACATTTACACAGCCCTGGCCCCATGAAGAGCCAGTATCACAGCAGGCTGCTTGCAATTCCATTTTCTTGGTGAAGCCACATAAGTTTTAACATCTATTTACCCCAAAACAGCCTAAATTGAATTTCATATTCTCCTTATTGCAACAGTCCTAGAATTCACTGTGGTGGCCCGCGCCACGGCTCAACAGGTTAACCCTCCGCCTTGCAGCACTGGCACACTGGGTTCTGGTCCCGGTTAGGGTGCCGAATTCTGTCCCGGTTGCCCCTCTTCTAGGCCAGCCCTCTACTATGGCCCTGGAGTGCAATGGAGGATGGCCCAAGTCCTTGGGCCCTGCACCCATATGGGAGACCAGGAGAAGCACCATGCTCCTGGCTTTGGATCAGAGCGATGCGCCGGCCGCAGCACGCTGGCCGCGGCGGCCATTGGAGGGTGAACCAACGGCAAAAGGAAGACCTTTCTCTCTGTCTCTCTCTCTCACTGTTCACTCTGCCTGTCAAAAAAAAAAAAAAAAGAATTCACTGTGGTTAACTGCCTTGCCCAAGCTGAGGACCTGCAGCTGGGAAGTCAGAGTCAGGATTCTAAGCGAGGTCAGCATGATTCCACAGCTTCTATTTCTAACTACGCTGCAAGAATGCCTGGTAGCTGCATATTTGAGGTGGTTCCAATTAATTGTATATTATTCTGCATTTGAAAAATCGGAACATTTGGGTTTAAAAATGGTTACCATTGGCATTAAGCAGTTACATTGATCTCTTCTTTTAAAAATATTTTTCTATTTGAAAGTCGGAGTTAGGGAGAAATAGAGATAGAGATAATAGATCAATCTGCCATCTGTTAGTTCACTTCCCAGATGGCTGCAATGGCTGGGGCTGAGCCAGGATGAAGCCAGGAACTGGAGATAAATCTAGATCTTCCAGGTGGGCAGCAGGAGTCCAAATATTTTGGCCATTTTTGGCTGCTTTCTCCAGGCCATTAGCAGGGTGCTAAAGCAGAGGTGGAGCAGCCAGGACACAAACCAGTGCCTGCAGAGATGCCAGCATCACAGGCCATAGCTTTACTGGCTATGCAATAGCACTGACCCCACACATCTATCATGTCTACACACTAGTATACACCCATTCCTCAAAGCTGTATTATGTATGTGCTCCAGATCTGCAACCCATTGCCTCCACAACAGATTGAAACACAGTCGATGTTAGCCCTTACTTATTCCTGGTGGCCTTGAACTGACAGGCATCCCTTTCCTGAAAGGCTTCTACTCTAAAGACTGAGACTTTCAATCCACAAACACATCCCATCCCCTCGTAATGACACTGTCACCTCCCCAAAAGCTGCCCGCGGTGCTCACATTAACGTCTTTGCATTCTGAGGACAGCCCTGATTCTCAGCTCTAATGTGGAAACTGACCCATTCCTAATTAAGTCAATCAAATGCCAGCCTGCTGGTGGGGTTTCTGCTGGCTCACTCGTGTCCAACAATGTCTCTCCCTGTAACCATTTACCAAATGATGCTTCACACAAAATTATCAGCTTCCATCATAACCATTTTAGGACTACAGAAATACAACTCCATCAACTAATATACAATCCTAAAACCAGATTTTCCTCGCCTTCAAATTCTCTAATCATCTAGTTTTTCCCAATAATCATGCATTGCCAATCACATTTCTTTTTTTTTTTTTTTTTGACAGGCAGAGTGGACAGTGAGAGAGAGAGACAGAGAGAGAAAGGTCTTCCTTTACCGTTGGTTCTGCGGCTGGTGCGCTGCGGCCAGCACACTGCACTGATTGGAAGCCAGGAGCCAGGTGCCTCTCCTGGTCTCTCATGCGGGTGCAGGGCCCAAGCACTTGGGCCATCCTCCACTGCACTCCCGGGCCACAGCAGAGAGCTGGACTGGAAGAGGAGCAACCGGGACAGAATCCGGTGCCCCGACTGGGACTAGAACCCGGGGTGCCGACGCCACGGGTGGTGGATTAGCCTAGTGAGCCACGGCGCCGGCCTGCCAATCACATTTCTTGCAAGCCAAATTCAATCATCGCTAATATTGTACAGAATCTGACGGGAAAAAATGAGCCCCAAAATATTTCCCCTCCCAAATAACAGCCTGAACTACAATGTCAAATAGAGAGTCTTAGTTACACTGCATTTCTTCATTCCCTCATTTCACGTTGATTAACCACATCACCAGCCATCTAATCCCCCAGAAAATGTCAGTCACAAGAAACGCAGCAACAATGACCAGCACCCACAGCCCTCCATAACGACATAATCGCCCACAAAACAGACTCTTCCCCAAGACCTCAAAAATCAATCTTCTGAATTTTTAAAATTAAAAGAAATTTCTACCCCATCATAGTCCACCATTCACATAATTTACTCCATAAACACTCCTAAAATCAATGACTCCCAAATGCCCACACTCGGCCCCAAGTTCCAGATTTCCGTAGCGTTACAGTGACATAACCCAAGAGAACCAAGATACCCCTCAGTCACAAACACTGTTCTCCCTGAAGACGACCCCAAACTGAACCGACAGCACAACCAACGCTCCACGGACAACATCCCAGACCCCACAAGCAGAAGCTGGTGGGAAAGCGACAACACAGCCCACAAACACGTACTCCATAAAATATAAAATGAATCCATCAAGAAAACCAACGCGCAGCTCGGGTCCCAGTTCTCAGACGGCAGCTCCCCCGGCCGCTGACAGGAGAAACCCTCATTCCAGTTCGCCCCCAGGAGCTTCATGGCGCGAGCAGCGCCTGCCACAGGGCGCCCAGCGGCGCGGCGACGCCCACAGCCCGCGTCCGTCCGCCCGGCACGCACGCCCCGCGCCCTCCACGCCTCTCCGCGGCTCCCACCCTCCCTGAGGAGAGCGCCCGGGCCCGGCCAGGCCCCACGGACGCGCCACAGACGCTGACGCGGCGCTCAGCAGGCCCGCGACGCCGGGGAGCTGGGGCAGCCGTCCACGGGAGAGTTCTCCTCACGCACCCGCAGACCCGCGCTCTCTCCAGGCGGCCCTCTCCGCGGCAGCTCCACGTGCCTGGCTTCAAGCCTGGCCTCCGCATGTGCTGCAGTCCGCAGCGCACGCCAACGGACCACAACAAATCCAACGAAACATAAAAAAAAAAAAATGGCCGACGCCAACTGCACAGCATACTCATAGCCTCTGTATTCAAATATGGGCTCCGGAGGGACTCTTTTCTATTGGATAAGACGGGAAGAGCAGCAACCAATCAGTAACTCTGTGCTTGCGCATGCGTAGCCATTGGCCTCCGTCTGGGCCGGTCTGCCACCTCTGGAGCCCCTGCCATGAGCTGTGGAGGACAGTGCTTTGCGCCTGCGCAGTGATGCGGCACTGACGGGAGCGCGGCAGGAAGGCCTGGCTGCCTGAAGAGGGCGCCGCTGCGACCCGGCGCCCGCCAGCTCCACACTCTCCAGTCCCGCATCTCACGGCTGCTCCAGAAGCCGGGCGCCCCTCTTGGGTGTTCCTGGCCTCTGTGCTGTCCGTGCCGGCGTTCCCTGTGGTCTCGTCCCCCGGCCAACCCCCTGACACTGGGGGGCTGTGATAGCGGGGAGGCCCCATCCCCAGCCTCAGCTCCTGGCAGCCCTTCTATGCGCCCTGCGGGGCTTGCTGTCCAGGGCCGTGAAAGGCTGAAGCCTCGGTCGTGCTCCTGTGCCTGGACAGAGAGAGCCCCGGCGTGGCGGCCTTTCCTTGGCTCCCCACCAGGCTCCCCACGCCGGTCACCGCCCTGCCCTTGCTATGTCCTCCGCCTGTGTGGGAGCCAAGGGTTCTGAGTGTCTCGGATTTAGCTGTCTCAGGTCTGCACCACCCCAGGGCGGACACGGGGTCCGCCGGGCAGTGGGGGATCTTGGGCCTGGGGAGAGATGGCCCAGTTACATTCTTGCTCACCGGCTTTTCCCGGCCGCCTCAGGAGCCAGGAAGAAGGAGTTGTGGGGCCCAGGAAGAGCAGGCCCCGCTGTATTCCCCTCGGCCTGGCCAGTGGCCCTGGACCACGGTCCTGGGGTGCCCCTGCTGATGCACCATTTTCAGGGGCCGGCCTGAGGAGCACCGTCCCGTCCTCAGCCACCAGCACGGAGTCCGGGCACAGGTAAGCTTCAGGACGTGCACCCAGGGGTGTGGTCAGGGGCCAGCGGGCTTCGGGGTCCACAGCATGCACAGGTGGATCCTCGGTGCCTGGTGTCCCATGCTGCCCCTCCCCCAGGGCCACGATGTGGACACTGCCCCACCCCCAGGCTCTCTGGGTCACCTGGGGGCTCCGTGGGCACCTGCAGGGTGCGGAGGCAGGCCAGGCACAGGGCCCACAGCTTGTACTCCCTGAAGGGCCGGCCCAGCTTGCACAGGAGGTCCTGCAGGGACAGGTTCTGTGGGAGCAGAGAAGGGGACTTCCCGGGGGCGTGGCAGGTGACACCCCGCTCCTGCGAGGCGAGGCTGGGGAAGCAATGATGTCGGAGTGAGCGTGGGTGAGGCTGGGGGCCTGGCCACTGTGAAGTCAGACGTGGCAGGGCCCCCAGGAGCCGGCACGGCTGCGGGCACAGCAGCCCCAGGGCGGCACACCATGCACTTGTCCCCTAAATGAGGACGCCTTTGGGGACCTGGGCTCAGTGACCTGAGTGGTCACCTGGGTGCAAAGGGCAGGAAGCGTGTGGGAGCCAGGGTCAGGGAGCCGTGTCCAGGGGGCAGTCTGGGAGGATGAGGAATTTCTGGCAGGAGGTGGTGACAGACGCTGTGCGGGCCACTGAGCAGGCGGTCAGAGCACAAGGCCCACACTCGCTCTGTGTGTCTCCCTGGAGGGCAGGTCCTCCACATGGGCTCAGACACACAGAAGGCTCCAGAGGCCAGTGTCCTCCCGGAGACCCCTTTCCAAGGCCCCTTGTGTATCAGAGGGGCTGGAGTGTGTGCTGGGGCAGCCCAGATGCCTGGGGGGCTGTGTCCTGTGTGGGGGCTGAGGTCAGGAGTCTCGATGCCAGAACCGTGGCTGGGCATTGTCCTAGGGGAAAGGACAGCCCTGGCCACCTCAGTCTGCTCATCTGGCCCTGGGACAGACCTTGCTTGAAGTGACCACACCGTCCATTTAGTTGCTCTCCAGTGCTCGCCAGGACTTGAATAGAAATAAAATCCCCAGAATCCCTCGCCCCTCATCCTGTGGGTCAACCAGCAGTGGCTGTGTGTGTGGCCCCCGCCCTGGGGCATTCAGGGCACACAGTTCAGGAGCCGAGCGGGGGCACCGCAGGCCTGGCTCGCCTGTGTCCTAAGCCAGATGCAGGGGCAGGGGCAGGCCAGGCCGGGGCAGACAGGAAGACCCTGGAGAGGCTGGGAGGCGGTGCTGCCGGCAGTGCCATGGCTGTGGCCAGCTCCTCACCCCAGCCGCTGGGAGCCTGTCACCCACCTGCTCCATGGATGCCACTCCGGGAGTCTCCTCATCACCCATGGGCGTCTCAGTTTCACCTCCTGCACCTTGAGTGGCCTTGGGACAGGGCAGGGACCTCTGCTCGGCAGGCCCCTGGCTGGAGCGTGAGGACTTGGGGCCCCGTCTCCACTGCAGCCTGGGCCTGGTGCCCCCGTGTGCTGGGGCTGCAGCTCCTGCTCCAGCTCCTTGACCCTGGAGAGGCCGCTCCTCCCGCCCAGCATGGTCTTCCTGGGGCCTGCAGGGGAGCTCGCAGGCAGGGGCAGCTGGGCTCCAGGGCTGGAGGTAGCAGCCTCGGGGCCCTCGGGAAGGAGCCTGGGGGACGTGTGCATGCGCCGCAGGTGGCTCCTCTTGAGGAGGTCTCTGTCCAGCTCACCCAGGGGGCTCAGGGGGTCCAGGACAAGGCTGGCCAGCCCCTCCTGGCAGTGGCTGTCCTCGTTCTTCATAGGGGCTGACAGCAGTGGCTTGGGGGACAGGGGTCTGTGGCACAGGTTGGGCTCCCCAGAGATGGGGGCTGGGGCAGGCCCTCTAGGTCAGTGCCAAGGTCCCCTGGGGGCCTTCTGGGCCCCACACTTCTCGGTGCAGGCATCGCCCTCCAGGTGCTGTCACTCAAATCTGGACACAAAGCTAGAGGCGTTCACAGCAGAGACAGCGACATGGAGCCGCCAGCATGGCACCCACCCCAGCCTCCACCAGGGCTCCCCCGCCCGCTCCGCACAACACCACACACGTCCCGTGGACACCCGGTTTCTCATCCGAGGGCTGGTCAAAGTCTCAAGTGGTTCCTGAGGGAGAACGAGAACCAGGTGAAACCTTCTCCCAAGTGAGCGCTGTCCCTGAGACGGGACCCTACTGGCCCTTGCTGGCTCTGAGCTCAGACAGGCGGAGTCCCCGTGAGCTGTGGAAACCCCACAGCTTTGAGCGTGCAGAAGGGAATGCACCTGCCGGCATGCAGTGGCGCTGGCAGAGGGGATGAGCTAACTGAGTGGCGCTGTGCCTGCGCCTGCACCTGCACCTGTCCCCAAGGTGCCCAGTGCCGGCCTGGCATGCTTTGAAGTCTCTGCTAGGTTTTTGCAAAAATGCGTTTTCATGAGCTTCTTGAAGACCTGGTATGTACGGATTTCAAAAACCGGTTTTTGCACCAAAATGACATCATCTTCAATGCTGTTTTCCGTGAACTTTTTGAAGTACCCTTCCTATGTGATCTGTTTGAATACCCATGTGTGTGAGTCCAGGGGGCGTGGGGGTTTAGTAAGTATGAGTGTGCCTGGGATTGTGTGTAGGTGGCTGTGTGGGCGTGTGGTTGCATGTACGTGCGTGGGCAGATGTGTGTGCGTGGGGGGGGGGCGCTCTCTTACCCTGAAAGGCGCCAAAGGACTCGATGGAGAGCACGCGGCTGCCGACGGCGGAGAGGCTCCGCACACGTGGCAAGAGGACGTGGGCCGCGTCTTCTCCCGGCACAGCGCGATGACGCTCTGTGGACTGGAGCGCTCTCAGGAGGCTGCAGAGGGCTCTGCCCGCCGCCCGCCTCGCGCTGCCTGTCCACACTGCATCCCAACAGCTCCCAGCGAGGCGTGCGGCCTGGGCTCCGGAGCGCTCACCTCCAGGCGGGGTCTGTCTGCGGGCTCCTCCGCCTGCATCTGGCTCAGCAGCGTCTCCAGCTCCGTGCTCAGCCTGGGCTCCGGCTCCGGCTCCACCGCGTACTCCAGGGCCGCCTTCAGCGTGGCCGCCAGGGAGTAGATGTGCGCCTGAGGCACCGGGGCCATAAGTGAGGGGCCGGGCTGGGGGAGTGCCCCCTACCCTGCGGGGTTTCCCAAGACCGGGCGTTGGGAGAGTGGACAGCGGTGCCCGACCCAGCCGGGGGCCTGGGTCCAGGCTGCCCCAAAGCACCCACCGGCTCCCGCTGGTGTTCTGCCCACCCCAAAGGACAGACGGGCGTGACGGGTGTGATGAGTGATGTGTGATGCTTGACGCGTGCTGGGCGCAGCCCCTTCGCCGCAGGAAGCTGAGCCCAGCAGGACTCCGACGTGGAAAGCCCCTCGGCGCAGGCACAGCGCGGCTGCGCGGGAGCACGGGGTTCCAGATGGCAGGGCGGGCGGAGGCGGGGGCGGCGCGCGGCACGGGACCTGTCCTTAATGGATGAAAACGGTGCAAAAGGAGAAATGGTGCCGGCGCCCCAGTGCTCTCAGAGCCCACCTCCCCGCGCCCTGCACGGGGCCCTGCGGGAGGGAGCCCCGTGAGCTGAGAGCGCGGGGTAGGCGCTTTCCTGCGTGTGTCTCCCGGGAGACGCGCGTTCACGAGGCTGCGTCGCTCACGGGCCCAGGGAAACCCGCGGAGTGAACGCAGAAATGCAGCGCGGGAGACAGGATGCGGCAGGGCTGTGCGGGGAGGCTCAGGCCTGCAGCGTGCACGCTCACACCGCGAGGGAGCAGAGACGCATGATGGCCTCCTGACCTCGGAGGAGACTAAGCTCCAGGCAGAGCAAGGAACGAGAACCGGAGGATTAACCGCGGCTAGCGCTGGACGCGGGGCGCCCCCCGGCAGGACTGCAGGAGGAGGGCGCAGGGGAGCCGACTTCGTGAAAGACCGGAAAAGGAAAGGAAGCGAGGGTGCCGCGCCGCAGGCCTTGGCCTAACCCGCAGGGCCACAGCTCTGGCCCCTCCTGGAAGCTTTTACGGCTGGGCTTCAACTCCCC